TCCGTTAACATTCCAATTTAAGTTACACGGCTAAACCTTGTTTTGATGCAAAATAACTTCTTTTTCTTATCCAAATCGTGCTACGAAAATAACTACATGGCGATAGATCAAAACAAGATCAACTCCATCCTTGCGACTACTGACAACTATAAATTTAGCTTGCGTAGGGGGCATCGAAAGGGGTAGGGGATATGGAGGAAGCAAAAAAGGGATGTTGATTGGGGAGAAATAGTAGCCTGCCACGCAGGCTACTATAAATTCAGTCATAAGCACATTAAACCAACCCATACAGGTAACCTACTCATCGATGCTCATAACATGACACATCTTTCCGGTTTCCCTAATTTTTCCAAATTCAGATAGAACGCCATTATGCTTCCATGGACCAACGCATCCCACGGAAACGGCTTTAGGCGTCTTGTTTATAATAAAAGCGAGTTTTCCCGTCGACTGCGTTCTTTTGTAACCTGTCCCCTTTCCTATATATATATATATATATGCTCGTAGGCTACTTCTTTTGCACAATGCAGAACTGATCAATAGCCTTTGTAGAGACTCTCAGCATAGCCAGCTCTCCTATTTGGGCGAGCAAAGCGAACCGCGCGCGGCAGCGTCTCGCGCGTCTACTTTTCACGATATATCCTTCAAATAGAGAGCTTGCTCGCCGGCTAAAGACACCAACTCCCATAGGCGTACGGGCCGGGGGGGCGAGGGGGGCTGCAGCCCCCCCAAATTTTGGCAACTCAGTTTTTTGGGGGCAGCTAGAGAAAATTTGGGCAAAGCCAGGTTTTAAAGACGTTTCGTTTTTTTTTTTTAATGTTATTTTGAAGAGATAAATATTTTATATTTTATTCTGACAAAAATCCTGACGTCGGTCGGCGTAATAATCAAGTTACATTCTCTCGAAACATAGGTTGCCTAGCACGTGATGAGTTTCTGGTTAATAGGAAAGGGTATCACACGTTGATTTACATATTTATAGTTTTTTAAAGTGTTTAGTTAAGGTAAAAAAACCACTGCAAAAACCGTGTACGATCAATCCTGCTCAACGTCGGATCCGAAAAGATCGTGATCAGTCAAAATAGATCAAAACGTTACAGTCAAGAAGACTTTTGCAGGGACTGATCAAACAACATGAAATGAACGTATTTTAGTATTTAAACGGTTATAGGCATATTTTATCCTCTAAAAACTTTTTTCATCTGTTCGGATTTCGACTGGTGATCCGAAAATTATAGGGTCAAAACTTAACCAGTCTTCATCAGGTTTATATCGTTTAAAAGGTTTTTAGATGTTGAGCACAAATGTTACTGCACTGAACAGACATTTTAACTGGAATTTCGACTGGCCAATACCAGTCTTCTCTATCAGTCGTGAATTGATTCCAGAATTAAAATTCCGCATATCTTAATAGAATCATCTCCCGCTCGTAGAATAGTGTATGGCAGATAGCATCAGCAATAGATCTGAAAATGAAGAAGTGGCTGACTGGTTCTCAGTTCGATAACGGCCAAACAGCAAGATTTTCGTTTTTTACCATATTTCTAACGATGAAAACGTCATTCCAAAATATCCCAATAACACTCTCACAGTTTCCGTTTTAACTTCACGAAAATCGAGGCGACTATTTGAGGAAAAAGTTTCCGTGAACGATTTT